ACTCTGAATTATTATTTTTTCTTGTTTTTGTTTTTGTTTTTTTTTTTTTCTATTTTCCACCTTCTTTTCTTTCTTCTTATGTTTTTCACTCCATATCTGGGGCATCTTTTTTACCTGGTGATGAGATTTTTCCCAATTTTTCTTACATTTAACTTCACAGAGAATCCATTTTATTCTCAGCTTGATCCTTACATGTCCCTATTTGTATTTCATGGACTGAAACTTTCCTTTTAGTTATAAGGTTTCCCCTCCTCCCTGCTTTGTTGGTTTCTTCCAAACTACTTGTGTTGAAAGAACTTTTCTGATGGTAGTACTTGTATAGATGAGTACCCATACCGATGGTATTGACTTACTGGGGATAAGGAAAGGGACTTATTCTCTCAATATTTGGTATATTCGCTTTCACGTAATTACCTTGTTTTGGTATTGTGTCCTTACACTCAGAATTCCCGAGTACCTTTAGCCCAGAATTCCTTTCATTTTCACTTTTGCAGAACTCAAAGATCTAGTCTTCTGTTGGGGGAGAGAGCTTACATACACCTCAGATAATCCTGTGAAGATTATCTGTTAATTTTCCAACTCACCACCTTTCTAAGCAAATCTATGCTTCGTCACCTCTACCAGCTTAATTTATATTTCTAAGAAGTCTAAGTCAACATATATGTGTACATATTTTCTCCAGCTCCTGAAAATTGTGTTAGTGTTTTCTGCTCTCATATTTTCTTTCTGCTTATAGATTTATTCCGATTTTATCTCTTACTGTCACTATAGTGGTAATTCAATAGAAAACCAAGGTAAATATGCGTGTTCAATACTTCGTGTTTTGCATTACCTAGCTATAATTTTAAATTAGAAAAGTAGACTTATCACTGAAAATTAAAGTCTTAGAATTTCTCTTTCTTCTCCTGGATGAAAGAAAAGTTTTATCCTTGACCTTGACTTGGTAATATTTAGAATACACAGTACTTGGTACTCAATATATGTATGATATTTTTATTATTGTTATTATATTAACTAGAGCTTAAAACTCTTCAAACTTTCTTCCTTGATGAATTAGACAGAATTTATAGAGAGCATTAACTCTTGTTAATGTGTTTAGGAATAAATGATTTAAAATATTAGATTCTTCAGGCACTAATGAAGTAGGGATTTTTGGATCAACTTTCCTACTGGAATCAACTGGAAAACTGGAACAAATGTATAGTTTTAAAGCCTGTTTAAAAGTTTCAGGGAAGTATCAAGGCAACTTGGATTTTTAGGGCAAATTTTCAGGAGAAAGAAGCATGGCTTTTTCCATTGAATTTAAGAAATTAAAGTACAAGTCACTCATATATTTTTCCAGATAACGAGCAGAATGGAAGCCAGATATTAGCAATCAAGTACAGTTATATATGTAAAGTGACTAGAATAACATGCCCAGGTTCAAGTTGGGATTATTACAGGCATTTAAATTTGGCCTAACCTTAGGAAGTGAAACAATGTATTTTGCCACATTAAGAGAATAAAGAAGAAAATCATGAAAGCATTTTATCACATTCCATATGTATTCTATTCATGGTTGAAAACAAAACAACTGTAATAGCAAAAATTCTTAAGTAACAGAAAGTAAAGAACTCAATTAATCGAATAATATGTATATATAGAAAACTCCCATCAAACTTTAAAAGTGAAATATTGAAGTTTCTCTCATTGATATTGGGAACAAGACAAGAATGGCCACTACTCTAAGTATAATTCAAATTTGTGTCGGAGTTCATTGCCCATGGCAATAAGGCAAGAAAAATACATGGAGTTTAAGAGGATGGGAAAGAAGAAATTGAAACTCATTGTTTGTTATAGACTACCCAGTAATCTACAGATAGATCAAATACTTGAATTAATAAGTGTGTTTAGCAAGATCTGTGCCTACAAGGTAGAAATAAAAATCACTTGTATTTCTGTATGACACCAACTAATAATAAGTAAATAAAATTTAAGAAATTTTACCATTTATGAAATCAAAATTAGTATATACCTGGGAATACATCTTTAAAAACTATTTGAAAGGTATCTATACAGAACAGTATGAAACATTATTGAGAGAAATTAAAGCTCTAATTAAAGAGGACTATAACACGGTTGCAGATTTCAAGACTCAGCATTTTAAAGATTCTCCCCCAAATAGATCGATAGATTCAGTACAATCACATTAGAAATCCAGCAGTGTTATTTTGGTTAGTTTTTTGTTTTGTTTTGTTTTGTTTTGTAATAGGAGAAAGAAAAGATTGGCAAATGTTTTCTAAATGTCATATTCAATTCAATTCAAAAGAAGGGATGTAGAAGTCAAGATAATGGGTGTCTTTGGAGAGAGAAGAAGAAATAATGATGGAGGAGGATGAAAGGAGTTCTGATTTGTTAGTAAGAATTTGATTTCTTGATTTAGAGGTAATAGTTACATTGGTGTGTACACTTTAATAATATATTAAATAATACATTTATCTGTAAGTATAATATTTCAATAGTAAATTCCTTCTTAAAACCAATGTTAAGTACACACTACCTTTGGGAAAGACATAGAATCAGGTTTGTTTTAACTGGTTGTTTTTAATAAAGCATGTTATTATTTTTAAGCAATATTTAGGAGCACACAGAATCATTGGGAGAGGTACAGAACAAATTCTAGAGGCTGCCCCTTCAGGAACGATGACCAAATGAAGTATAAAATGGGGCTGGGATGGTTTCTTCCAAACACCCGACTCATCCAGAACCCTGGATGTTCTCTCTGAAACCACTGCCCCTCCCATCACCAGAATGGATTCTGTACAGGCTTCTTTTGCTTAGGTCACTAGCATCTGATTGAAAACCTAGGACTGTGCTTCTGTGTGGTGGAGCCTGGGTCATGTGCACAGTCTAGCTTCAAGTCAGGCTAGTAAAGAAAAGGTATCCAGAGTTTTCATTTTCTAATGGTCCTCATAAAGTGTGATTTCCAGAAAATAGGAAGAAGTTTCAAACACTGTCATTAATGAATGCTCAATATCTATACATCGTTCCCATGTGTTTCTTTGAGTTCATGTTCCCAGTCAACAAATAGGAACAGGGTTTCCACAAATTTGAGCAACGTGAAATGGTCATTTTGCAGTCATTTACTACAGTAAGGGTTAACAGAGTCATAAATGTCCCTCAATCTAAAATATATTTAGGCTTTTCTAGGTATTTGCTTATTCCTGTTAAACCTTCCTCTGAGTAGTCGGTCAATTCTTACCACTTACAAAGATATTTTTTACTATTTGCTGCTGCACTACAATCTCTTGAAATGCTCGGTATGCATAATGTTGTATGTTGCTGTTTCCTTCTGCATTTTATTTATTTATTTATTTATTTATTTTATTTTATTTTATTTTTTGAGACAGAGTCTCGCTCTGTCGCCCAGGCTGGAGTGCAGTGGTGCGATGTCGGCTCACTGCAAGCTCCGTCTCCCGGGTTCACGCCATTCTCCTGCCTCAGCCTCCGAGTAGCTGGGACTACAGGCGCCCGCCACCTCGCCCGGCTAGTTTTTTGTATTTTTAGTAGAGACGGGGTTTCACCATGTTAGCCAGGATGGTCTCGATCTCCTGACCTTGTGATCCACCCACCTCGGCCTCCCAAAGTGCTGGGATTACAGGCGTGATGCATTTCATTTTATTTATTGACTATATGAGAGGGAATCATTACCATGATTTACAAATACAGATATATATGTCTTTTAGCTGACTTAGTATTATCACCCTTAAGTCAATAGACAGACATTTGTTTTCTTACACTTTAACATCTTTAACATTTGTTTGCATCTTACAATAAATAGAATATCATAGTTATATGGCTAAGTTTTTTTTCTTTTTAGCAATATATAGACCAATTATGTATCTTATTAATAATCATATGTTAGAATTGGTAAAATGCAGTAACCATTAAATACAAAAATAATCACCTACAGATAGACTATCAAGGTCATTATATAATTATGCCTCTTAGTTATCAACATCTTTATTAATATTATAGACCTCAGAATCAAGATCATTCAGGAAATTATACAAACCCAAGACGAACCCTTACTTCCATTCTTCTGTTTTTACAGCTGTGTCTTTCTTCTCTGTTTATCTCAAAATGGCACCTGTGGCCTCTTCCACAGCCTCCTGGGGATGTGTGAATTATACAAGGGAATCCTCAGGCCCATCAGGGACCTCTGTCATCTGCTTTCCTGAATCCCCTAACAGAGAGCCAATGTTCTCCTTTTCCTTACTTGATTAGTTCAAAGATCAGTTACCCTCTGAAGCTCCACCTCAGATTTAAACAAATAAACTATGAAAGCCAGGATCATAATGCAATTTTTCTGTGCTGGCTTCTTCCATCAGAAAGAATCCGTTATTTTGCACTCCTCCTCCTTCGCTCATACTGCTTAGGGATCAATCCTAACAATGGCATCTATTTGTATCATGATCTATGGCCTTCAGTTCACTTTTATATCTATAGCCTCCCTTAACTTTCACGGTAAATGTGTGTTATGGTAGAATGATTATTCTCATTTCACAGTTAAAGAAAATAGTTTTTGACCAAGCTCTTGTAATAGTGAATGGTTGATTTCAAATTATACTTGATTTTGAAAATTTCACATTAGTTGTTTTTCCTTATGCACTCTGCTCTTTAATATCCAGGCTTTGAATATTTCAACTTCTTCTCTTTTATTTTTGAGTTGACATTTAATGATCTTGTAATAAAGAGTTTAAACAAATAATAGTACTTTTTAGTGTCTTCTAGAAACAAACAAAATTTAATAGACTTTAAATGTGCTATCCAGTATTTCTATTAACTAATTAATTCATTTTCAATTAAGTTTGAGAAATAATCCCACAAATTAATTGTTTGGAGCAGGGTAGAAATTTAGTATTTGTTTTCAACACAAACTAAATGTTAATGAATATACTTTAAACTAACATTGATCTTATTTGCCTATAATCTTGTTTTCAACACCTCTTTTATTCTAGTTATGTTTCGCCTTTATGACACGGATGGGAATGGCTTCCTGGACAGCTCGGTAATTTTTTGCTTCAAATTTTCTGTGAAAACTTCAAAGAGTTTCTTCTGAAAAATGCAATGAATAAATGTATAATTATTACCACAGAAGTCACACTTAATGTAATTTACATCCACTCATATGGCATTTTTATCTTTTGATGTTTTGAAAGAGAGTGATCTGAGGAAACTGCTGGGATTACAGTTGTTCTACTGAATAGTTTTGCTACCACTACACAACTTTTTAAGTTTTTTTTCCTGCACTGAAGTTAGGTAAAAAAAGAAAGGCCCCAGCCTTGTCTGAATAAAACATAAGATTAAGTTGAAACCATTGATCTAGAATGAAGGAAAAACTATTCATAACATTTGGCATTAAGGAAACTTGAGACTATAAGTAGAATTTTAAGGATTTGTAAAATCAATTTAATTATCTCATTATTTTCCCAGTTTTACATGGTATCTTTAGTCCTATATGCTGCTGAAATAGACAAATATATTTACAGATTGCTTTCACAAACTTTGCTTTTTAAATATCTCATCCAATTTAATATTCAATTTACATTCTTACAGTCATAAAAAATAAGAAAATACCATCTTTACATGCTTAACTGAAAGGAAAAATTAAACGTTTATTTGTAATATATGGAAATCATTCCTAGCTTTCAGAGAAATAGAAAGTAGTTTTTCGTCCTAGTGCACAGATCGGTACCATGCATGAAAGTCCATCTCAGGTTCTGTCCAATAATGTACCTTATGTTTGGTAACATATTTTGCATATTATATTATTTCTTGTTCTATCAAGGAAATATACAAATATTAATAGAATAAGTGTCATATTATGGAAATTTTGAAGTGCACCATTTTTAATATATTTAATATTAGTAAAAAACAAATGTTTTGATATATTTAATAATGACTGAAATAGACATGATCTCTGAAAATGAGTGAGGTTTTCTCATCATCTGATAGACCACCCTATGGCAGCTAAAATAGACTTTTAAAAGCAAAGCGATGAGGTTGGAAGCCTATTTATGTAACTTTGAGTAGGATAATGGTATATTAGCTTCTCCAGAGAGAGATTAAAATATATAACTCCTACTCTAGGAAATGACTATCACTCTGATTGATGCTGTTACTGTGGGATTTATTATGTTTAAGTCTCAGTAATTGTTCAAATACTGGCCGGGCATGGTGGCTCATGCCTGTAATCCCAGCATTTTGGGATGCCAAGGCGGGCGGATCACCTGAGGTCAGGAGTTTGAGACCAGCCTGGCCAACATGGTGAAACCCCATCTCTACTAAAAATCCAACAATTGGCCAGGCGTGGTAGTGGGCACCTATAATCCCAGCTACTCGGGAGGCTGAGGCAGGAGAATCACTTGAACTTGGGAGGCGGAGGTTGCAGTGAGCCGAGATTGTGCCATTGCACTCCAGCCTGGTCAAAACAGCAAGAGTTCATCTCAAAAAAAAAAAAAATTTTTTTTTTTCAAATGCTATTATTTTTTAGTGCCTAATGGCCTTCAGTTTCCCAGTGGAAATACCAAGCTACATAATAAATTTGCTCATTTTATGGTGCCATTTCATGACTAAAACTTTTAATTTCTTTTAGATACTTTAATATTATAGCACTTGTGACTACACTAATGGAAATTATATTTTAATGGAGAGTTGTTTTATTTAATGTTTCTTTTTAAATTAAGTTAAAATGATGATTCTTTACTAGGCTTCAGCCACGGGTTGGCAGTTGATTTGAAAATTTAGTCAAATAGTCCTTTTTTTTTGGTCTCTGGCCATTTTTTTGTTAGCATATACAGCAGATTACTAGCAATATTTAGAACTATAGTCCCAATATTAAACAATGAGTTGGATATAAATATATTTAGTTTTGGTTAAACAAGTCTCTACTTTTTGTAATTAAAGGTCTAGATTTCATTTCTAGGGTTTTCTCCACAATACCTACTGCTCCAATATTTTTCCTTCACTGTCAGGTTTAAATTGTACCTTCTGACATCATGTGTCTTGATAACGTTAAGGTGTGGCAGTTTACCTACTGGGGGCAAAACAGAAAGAAAATGATAATTTGAAAATTGTCACTATTTCTAATAATAATAGTTAAGATTTGTCGATCATTTGCAATATGGCAAACAACAAAATAAATGCATTTTGTATAATAACATGTTTAATCTTTGCAGCAATACTATGAAGGAGGTAAAGTTAGAGTAGCTATTTTGCCAATGAGAAAACTGAGTCTTAGGTGGGCTGGCATACCTAATATCACATGCCTACATAACAGTCCACAAAAAATAGTTTCTGTTCTTAAAAGATATCCAGAAATTTTAACACTTCCAAACCATTAATGCATATGTAAGCAAAGATGGAGTAGGTGAGAGATTAGTCATGCATGTGTGCACACACATGCACACTTTTAACCTATAATTCAAAGGGATTTATGTTTTAAAATTTGTTAATCTGTAATAAATATATTTATATTTGTATTACTTCTGGGGCAGCCTGTCTTACTTAAGTAACATATTCATAATTATATTTTTTTTTTCTGGAGAGAGGGAATACAGCTTTCATTAGTTCCTTGGAGGGAACCACGGCTCCCCAAAAGAGAATCTGTCTTATCGTATTTCTTCTCTATTCCATAAACATCGACTACATATATTAGATTAGAGATTTGAGTAGAATAATCTTTCACTACCGTACTTTCAAGCTTCATTCTTTAATACTTCTTACATTTTAAATCATACACCACTTTTCAAATTATGTCATGTTTTCACGTAGAATTACAAGCATTTCACAAAGCCATGTTTCATCTTTTCTGTAGATAGACAAAAATTAAAACATTCGATAAATAGGTAGGAAAATGTTTTAATTAATTTAGCCAGGTCGTGTGTATTAACTTGCAATTCTTCAAAGAGTTGATAATTGAGCAGAATAATATGGAAATTCAAACTAAAATTTCATTCTCTCACAAAATAAATGCTACATATACTTGCCCTGCAAACCTTGACCCCGAACACTCTTCTATCAAAAGCAAATTATTCGATACATGACTAGAACAGTCAATATACATTCTCAGTGTATCAAGATAAAAATAGACTTCTCACTTGTCCTCAAATGATTTTTCCACCCTTTCACATCTGTTTTCAAGCTAAAGGTTCAGGGAATTCAGTGTCTTAAAAATCACATGTGACAATATATATCTGCTCCTGCTTTCTTCACTCTCTTTTAGTAGAAGAAAATGTATTTTTTGTACAGTTGTGCCCTCTCCTGGTGAACATTTCTAGACAATGTACAAGATAAATTTATATTTAGGATTCTCTTTTCTTTATATAGTTAATTAGACCTTTAAAAATTATTATGTACATATATATATTCCCATGGAACTCATTTAACTTTTTAAGTTACACATTGAACGAAACAATTCCTGCAAGTGAAAGATTTAAAACTCACTAAGATCTTGTAGTCATATTTTTTATCTCTCTTTCTCTTCCAGGAGCTAGAAAATATCATCAGTCAGATGATGCATGTTGCAGAGTACCTTGAGTGGGATGTCACTGAGCTTAATCCAGTAGGTATATGAATGATTTCACTATTGGCTAAATTCTGGAGG